CACTTACGTACCATCCTTTAAATGTCAGGATTAGAAACATTATGTACAAACATTTTCACATTTTACAGACCAGCGAGGAGACAAGTTCTACGTTTCCACTAATGCCTACTACTGCCTGGCGCCGTGACACTAATTTAAGGAGGTTATTGGTGCATACGGGTGAAAGGGGAGACCCTGAGAAATATGGTTCTGTCCCGTGTAATCGTCCTAGGTGTAATACTTGTCCTTTTATTACAGACTCTAATCATATATTTGGTCCCAAGGGAGATGTTGCGGTCAAATATCCGTTCAGTTGTATCACTATGAATGTTGTATATTGCATTTCATGTATTAAATGCGGGAAACTTTACATTGGTCCTACAGTTCGTCGACTGGGTTATTATCCGGTTTCACTTCATTTTAATTCTAGTGTACATAATATTACATATATGTATATTTCTGGTGTATGTGTTGTCAATGGCAACGAAAATCAGCTCAGGCGTGTCGAGGAGGAAACTATATTCCACCTTGGAACTAAAGAACCACATGGTATTAACAGGTCAACTCATTTGTTGAGCTCACTACCTAAGGCGCGTTATTTGTTCTATTGTGGAATTTTTTTTGTGATTCTAACTTGTAGTTCATGCGCGTTCTTACGTTCCTATGTTCTACCTGTACGTTATAACACTTTCTTCTATGCTATCGATAAAGAGCCATTGCTCGAAACGTCTTGCTATTTTTAATAGTTATTTAGGACTACGATTACTAAATATTATCTTCTATATATCATATTTATCAGTCCGAGCAGCGTTTATTTATTTATCAACTAGTTCGAAAATATAACGTCTTTGAACGCAATAAAATCATTTTTACGCGTAGAACGCCTTCCGAACCACTAGCAGCGAAAACATATTGCAAATTTGCGCAATTTTGGGGCAAGTGTGTGTATTTACAATATTTCTAAGATTCATTTATCATTATTTAGTGAACAGGCCCTTCCCTGCAGTGTACGGCAACCGAGGTGGCTCACAACATGGCATTTTATAAAACCATTTTTACAATTCATTTTTATTTTATAATTCTTTTTTAATAACCATTTTCGTTTCTGAAATGGATTTTTAAACCCCACTTCGTTTCTGATATCTGTTTTCATTCTTTTTAATTTTCGTTTTTAAAATCCGTTTTCGTTTTCAAAATCCATTTTCATTTTTAAAATCCATTTTTGTTGTTAAAATCCATTTTTGATTTCAAAATCCATTTTCATTTTTAAAATCCGTAAAAGCGCGTTACAGCAATTCCAGGCACTGATTTGACGCTGAAGTAATGCTAGATGTTGATAACTTACTACAATAGATTACACACTTTGTTTTCACATTTACAGAAGTTGTTACAAATAATGCAGACAAGCATCATGTCAATTTGAATCGAACCGAAAGAAAGCTCCGCCCGTAAAATTGACGGTACTTTAGTTTTAAATTTCTTCTCCAATAAACGATCGAGGCTCTCAACTTAGTTTCATACTTCAATTTGCGTCACATATTGTTTCAGTGAGAGGGGCGCATAACGTGGTGGCACTGTAAAGAACGTTAGTTACCCGTAGAGTTATTTTACAGAACCAGCTGACCGTCTGATCATGACAGAATTATTGATCAAGGTGCATTATTGATGTATATAACTGAAAGCTGCCTGCAACAAATGTCCTATGAAGACTTCATCCAATATATCAATAATGAAATTGAATACAAAAGTAGAATGGGTGTTATTCGATTATAAGTTCTCGACGATGAGAACCAAAAGGTTGATGTGCCACCAAATAATCGCTTTAAAAAGCTCATCACACGACCACACGTCCGGGGAGGTTTGCCGCCGTACATACACAAGTAGTTTTTGTCGAATTTCCCGTCCGTAAATGCGTGGTCGCAATGTTTTATAATATTCGGATCTAGAGGGGGGGTTCTTGGGATCCGGACACCCCCCCGTTGAAAAATGTATTCAATTTGTTTTTGTATAATATAATATAAAATAATCATTAACTTAGTCTGGCGATTTTAAAGTTTGGACACCCCCCCCATAAACAAAACCCTGTATCCGCCCCTGCATGCGTTGTCAGTTAGTTTTTTAGTCGCGAATTGGTCGCTCCTGCGCTTTCCTGGCAGGAAACTCTCGGTTGTAATAAACAGTTTGACGATATTATAAGCTGTCTGTTTTGAAACACTATTTCGATCTCCAATCTCAGCAAATGACAGTCCACGAAAATACAAATCGACAACTCTTGATCTCACTTCAACTGGTTTTTTGACTCCTTGCTTCTCCCTCGTGGTGTTCAAACAACTTGGACAAATGCCGATTGATTTGAAGACACGCAATCAACACGGTGACTGACCAAAAGTGACTGAAAGACAGACGCGCCACAAAGTCTAGGTGTACTTGACTTTGTAGCAAAAATAGAAAACATTGTGGGCAATATCTGTCAATCATGCCTCTGATTTGTAGCCGAAGTTTATTACCAAACGCTTCAGCTAGTCTGGTTCCCTGCCCAAGTTTTCACCGCTGAGGGCTCAAAGAAAAACAAGGTCAGGTACGGGCCGACATCTTGGTCAGATTTCTGGCCAAAATGGATGACAGACACATGATGGTCACATGGTTACTTCGCAACAAACAAAATGGCTGCCTCCACTGTGACATGTACGCCGGTCAAGATAAGTAATTCATCTCAAGCGTGTTTTGTTTGTAGTACAGTGGGGACACGAACAAAAAAAATCCACGAAGGTACCGGGAAACATAACTTGAAGTTGTTGTTGTCGAAATATGGCGAAGTAGAGGTGATTGAGGGTTTGATTTGTAGGAATTGTGAACGCCATTTGTTGACACTAGATCGTCAGGTGAATGAATTT